GTGCTGCCTCTGTCCTGTTATGCTTGTTAATTTGGTCTTTGAGCTCCACTGGAACAGTGGAGGACGCACAGGAGCCAGGGAAACTCTCGCCCACACGCCCACTGGCTTTCCATACGGGGCTCACAGTGAGCCGTTGAGTGTGGGATTCACTGTGGACCCCTAATGTTGAGGGAACAGCAAGACTCAAAGTGAGCACGCAGTACTTGTGTTAAGTCTGCAACTGAGTGAGCTGGGTGCTGACAGCACTGAAGGGTCACACTTTCCCCAATATCCTCAATTTGCTTTGAACATGAAAAGAAGGCAATGGCGTTTACGAGACGTGGAGGAACTCGGTTCCGTCTTATTAGCCACCTGATGACGCTGGCAATACCGACATGGAAGGAAAGGCAAAGAAAGACCAGTCTCTGGTTCTTTTTCCTTTCACTCTTTCCTTACTCTTCAGTAAACCCAAGACCAAGAGTGATGGGAGGGCCTGGTGCAGTGGCCCATGCCTGTGATACCAGCACTCCGGGAGGCCAAAGTGGGAAGATCACTTGAGCTCAGGAGTTAGAAGCCAGCCTGAGCAAGAGTGAGACCCTGTCTCTACTGAAAATAGAAAAACTAGCTGGGTGTTGTGGCAGGGGCCTGTAGTCCCAGCTACTTGGGAGGCTGAGGCAGGAAGGTTGTTAAACCCAGGAGTTTGAGGTTGCTGTGAGCTAGCTGACACTGTGCCACTCTAGCCTAGGCAACAGAGTGAGAGTCGGTCTCAGAAAAAAAAAAAAAAATGAAGGAAGGAAGGGACCAAGGGAAGGCAGGAAAAGAATGATGGTAGAATATGTGCATATTAAGGAAGGCCATGAAAAAGTCAAGTTCATTTTGTGTCATTTCCATTGTTCTGATAAAGACAAAATGCATGTACAAGCTATAAAATACAGACTGTCATTTTTGTGAATTTATGTATTAGTTAAATGCATTTATGTATGTAATCAAAAACTGGCATTGCACAAAATAAATACTGATTATAAAATTCATGATAATAGTTTAAAATTTTTAATATTTCCTTACTTAGATATGAAATAGCAAATAACAAAAACACTTTACAAAGTTAAGAGATGCAAACAAATGCAAAATCTTAAGCCCTCTAGCCAACTGACTGGACCTCTCTTGATCAAGGAGATCCCAGATTGCCAGCCATGAGGAGAAGGGAAGTTGGACATGTTTCCTAAATCCTCTCCCTTTTGGAGCTACTCTTTGTAGCGATAAGATACTAAATGAGGCCATGCAAAGTAACGATTAAACCACACCCAAAGGCCATCAGTTTGCTTAGGTATATGTCTAGTGGCTTGTCTCTGATTACATACTTCTTTATCTTAACTTAAAGTGTTCCAGCCTCTGTAGTCCTCAACTGTGGGTCGCGACCCATAGGAACTGTATTCAAGGGTTGCAGCATTAGGAAGGTTTAGAAGGTTTAGAGACAAAGCTTCATTTCTTTAATCAATTACAAATCAAAGAATTTTTAAACCCACCTACAACCTGTGAGTCTTCCCCTTCCTTTAAGATGCCCTGCATTTGGGGACAAGCCAATGTATACCTTACACGTATTGATTCATGATTTTGTGTAGATCCCTGTCTCCATGAAAGTTTAAAACCAAACTGTAAGCCAACCACCTCCAGCATATTTTTTAGGACCTCTTTGGGCCATGTGCTCTGGACCACAGTCACACACATTCGGTTCAGAATAAACCTACTTACATTATTTTACAGAGTTTGGGTTTTTTCCATTAACAGAGAGATACCAAAAAGAAAGACAAAAGGCCTGATTTAAGAATATGGAGCCCTGAATTTTCTATTTTCTCTGGGCCCCACAAATTATGTAGCCAGCCATACCGCTGAAAACAAATCAAGCCCTCTCCCCTGGGGGTCTTAGTAAGAAGCAGCACACACACACGTGTGTGTGTGTGTACATATATTTGAATGAGAACAATATACTGCTTACTAACAATTAGTACTGTCCAGAAAACCTGAAAGGCCAGGATGGCTAGAGCGAGTTTGCTAGGGCTCACATCTACACATACACAGAACAAGAAAGGTGTGACTGATGTTTCTTGTTGATAGCACCTTTCTAGAAATGTTATCAAGTAGCTTGCTACTTTTTCTTTAACAAACACTGATGAAAGTTGTTTTGTACAGCTATTAAAGTTAAAAATTTGCTTAGATCTGGAACTGGAAATTAAATGGCATACGCTTTGAGTGATGAGAAGGACTTCGGATTTTAAGGGATAGGAAGAGTTACGAGGTCTGCATTATGTTTCAAGATAAAACCCGCCTGGAAGAGGCAGGAGACGGCTGATGCCAGGCAAGGTCTGATCGGGCTGGAGGAGCCGCCCCTCGGTGCATTTGCAGAAGAGGCAGGTTTGGGCAGAGAATGGAACATTCGATTTTGAGCCTGTAAGGCTGCTTC